ATAAGTAGTATGGCTGGTAGAGCAACTTAAAGAGCACCCAGTAAACTGTAAGCCCCCCACAAAATCAGTTAGTACTTAAACAGAAGTAACCTCTTTCCAACATTCCAACCTACTCTTAGTTTACATGCAACAACATCCTGCAGGATGCTCCTGTTTTGGAAACAGAATAAAACTTTCAGATCAGGCCATCTCATGGTACAGAAGGAAATAACCAAGATGATGCTGATTTAAGTTCTTGTTCCTGCAGTTAGATGTTAAGTCTCAAGTCTTCTTGAGCATAAGATTTCCTTATCTGTAAAATTAGATACTACACAGAGATGACATTCAATTATAAAGCATTATATAAATGTGCACTGTTTTGTGGACCCATCTTAGGAGCAGTAGCCAGAACCTACAACAGTCCACAATGACTAAGAAATTGCTCCAAAAGGGGTGAAAAAAATTATATATACGTGTGTGTGTGTGGGTGTGTGTGTGTGTGTGTGTGTAGAGAGAGAGAGCGAAAGAGAGCACGCGCGCCATTTTAAAATACAGTAGGAGCTGCCATTCCAGAGGAATTGCCTTGCACGACTTTTGCCTCAAACCTCTGTAATATTAAAACAGGGCAAAATAACCTGTACTGGGCCTAAAGCAACATCGTGCTCCAAAGAACTGTTTGCAACCATAACAAGAAAGCAGATATGACTACCAGACTTAAAATTAAAAACATTTAGAATTAGCATCACTGTTAGCTTATTTGCATCAAGTTTAGAATTAGCATCACTATGTTAGCTTATTTGCATCAACAGAAATGCCTTCCTTCTACTGATGTAATTCTTCCTCCCTCCCTTTCTCCTTAATATCCTTTGTCTTTGTTTCCTAATTGAAACGCTATTTGGGTTTCTGCCTAAACCGGTGCTTAACAAATAGCATTCTTTTCAAATCTCAAATAAATGCTGATTACCTCTTACTCTGAAAGGCCTTTTAATTTTAACGGGAAACTTTATACAAATAAACACATGTCTTTACAAAATACCTTTTAGTACAAGTCTTTCCTATAAACAAGAAGTGCAAATTTCTGACAACTGCTTAACATAAGCCACGTGGGCCTTGGATAAATCGATTGAACTGTTAATATACACTAATGCTAATGGAAAACTTTTTACAGTCATTTCTCAAATATTCATATTAACGAAGAGAAATAACATAAATGATACTTAAACTGTATATTAAATAATCAAACAATTGGTTTTTTTAAAGCAATGCTTCCCACACAAATTTTACTGAAACTAATCATTAAAATAAAATTTGTGCTTTCCAAGTATCAGTTCAATAAGACTAGGATTCTAATACTGGAAAGCCACAAGCTACATAAGGAATGAGGGTGTTATACAACCAAGCTATTTCTATTTCACAGGAGCACCCACAGTGTAGTCATCCGCTTCTGAATTTTGTACAACCATCCATCCATTACCATTGTATTCTTCAGGTAAATGCGTGTCTCAATAAGAGTATCATTTAATCTCTTTCAGTCTGTTACCTCCACTGTAAAATGTGAATTCTATCTGCCTAATAGTGAAGACTAGAAACAATGAATATAAAGGACTTGGAAATACGAGGGACACTTAAACTTTCAGTAAATCCTACATGACGTTATCATTTTCTGCACAACAGCGCTTACTTGCTAGCTCTCTGTAAGTTTACGTTGCTTGGGAGTTCTTCAAACTCTCAGGAAACGAAGGCCGCTTTCGGGGCCTTAGCTTCTTTCAGGCCCTTATTATCTATTAAAAAACCTACTCCTGTGTGCCATCCCATTGGTAAAAGACCTCTTAGTGTCCTGTTGCTCAAATCCAAATCTCCGTTTCCAGATAAACTGTAAGTTCCAAGAGCCCTTCTCCCAGGGCCCCAGCACCCTGCACGGCCCTGGCTAGCACGTCCTTCCAGCCAACAAGGGTCACGCTTCAAACTCGCGGGACAGCTCCCGCAATGGCCTCATCCCGGGTCTCGGCTAAGAGACACGGCCACGCATCCACCGGGTCTCCGGCTCCGGCCGCAGCGCCAGCTCTGCCTTGAAAAGCCGGACCACAAACAGCTGAGCAGCTTTCCACAAATCCGTTCCAATCTCAGTTTCCCCCGCGGCAGGATTGGGGCGGTCGCGCCACCCAGGGCCCAGGGGAGGGGTCCCAGGTGACCCGGCGCTCCTGGACCTCACCGAGCACTGACCTGCAAGTGATCTGCTTCGTGCTCATGGTGGTCGGGCTGGAGGGCCGTAGTCGCGCCGCCGCCGCCTCTCGCTCTTGCGGTGGGCGCCTGGGTCTATCCCTGCCCCTCCCACGCGGCCGCGTCACGCCGGCGCACACCGCCCCTCCCGTGTGACACCTCTGTAGCGCCCGCCGGAAACCTCGCCGCCGTCACAATTGGTTCCGCCGGTGGTGAGGCAAAGCCGACCCCCAGTTTCCTCACTCTTTGTCTCTCATTTCCAAGCCTGCTGGGCGGGGCCTGACTCGCTAGTTCCTCTGTGTCTGCTCCCATCTCCAAGAGCATTCCTTAGCGACCTCTCGCGTCTCTAGGATCACTTCACCTCTCCCGAGGCTAAGCTCCCGCCTCTCCTCTGCGCACCTTAATCCTAAATATTTCTACCTATATCCAAATTTACATTCCCCGGACCCCTTTCTCAGGCCCTACCTCAACTGTTCCCGCCACACTTCGCCTCCCAAGTAAGGAATTCCTTAGTTCTATCTCAATTACTCTTTTGCAAAGTCTCCACTCTCATCCCAAGTTTAGTCATTTTCTTCCCTGGTATTCCTCTGCTGTTGGTCTTCCATTTCCTGTGGTGGAAACCCAAAAATATATTAGTGACACTCTCCTCTGGTTCTTTATATCCTGCAGATCCTGCTCCTACACTTCTCTTCAATGCATCCTTTTCTCTCCATTTCCACCTTCATAGTTCTAGTCTAAGCAACCATCACTCCTTGCCTGGGGTCATGCAATGGCCTTTTAACTGCTCTTCTAGCTTCTGCTCCTGCCCTCTACTAGTCTGTTGTCACGTATAACCCATTTTTAAAAACATAAATCAGATGTCATTAACTTCCTTTAACTTTCAGTGGTTTTCCATCGCTTTTTAAATTGTTCTTTTTAAAATTTTTAAACATTGAGCTATAATAAATAAGTGCACAAAACACATATGCCTGTATGAATTTTTACATATGTATACACTCATAAAATCACCACCTAGATCAAAGAACATTCTCAAACCCCAGAGGGCTCCCTTATGCCCCTTCACAATTAATCTCCCAAAGCTTATTCTCACATCACAAATTAGTTTTGATTGTTCTTGACCTCGATATAAATAACTCAGTATGTACCCTTTTGTCTGTTTTCTTTTCACCAACATTATATCTGTGAGATGCATGCATGTTATATATAGCTATATGTTCTTTTACTTTGCTATAAAAATATTGACTCTTCCAATGAATGAGCACCGTATAGATTTCCAATTAGAGCTTTTGAAATTTCTCAGAAATTTAGGAAATATATTAGAAAATGTGTAATTTCCTTCCTTGTACCATGTCAGGTTTAGGTATCTGAGATATGCATAAAATGAGTTTGGAAGTCTTCCCTCTTTTCTATTCTCTGGAAAAGTCTGTGTAATATAAATATTTTCCTTAAATGTTTGGAAGAATTTGCCACTGAAGCCACCTCAGCTTGCAGTTTAGTTTGGCTTTGTCCATTTTCTTTATTGCACATGTGTTTTATATTTCATTGACTTTTGCTCTTTATTTTTTATTCTATGTTTAAGTTCAGATTGCTCGTTTCTAGCGCCTTGAGAAGGAAGTTTAGATCACTAATGTTCAAGCATTCTTTTTTAAGTATTTAAAGCTATAATTTTCCCTCTAAGCACTTTTTAGTTGTATCCACAAGCTTTTATGTCATATTTTCCTTACCACTGGGTTCAAAATATTTTCTGATTTTCATTTTTATCTATTCTTTCACCCATGTTATTTAGAAGTGTGCTGCTTAATTTCCCAACCACGGAGGATTTTCTAATTATCTTTTTCTTATTGATTTCTTTTGATTGCTAGTTAATCCCACTGTGGAATTGTCTATTCTTTTAGTTTGGTCAACATTTGATTTATATATTTTGAAGCTATGTTCATAGGTTCAAACAAATTTAAATCATGCTCTTCTGTTTTGTCAACACATCATGACTGAGAAATATCCCTCTTTGTGCTAGTTGCACATGTGAATCAGGACAGTGTTATTATATCAGTGAAAGAACCTATTGCCTCACTATTGTGCACATAATACACTATGTAAGGACGTGAACCAAAGACATTTCTAGGAATGCTAGTCGTTAATTGCATCAGGGTACTGTTTGCAGTGAAGACTGTGTTGACTGCATTATGGTGCCTGTAGTACACTATGTAAAGACATATGTATAAAAGATGTTTCTGAGAGTGCTAGTATAAAAAGAAAATGTCTAGAAATTCTTTTTTAAGGGGAATTTGTCTAATATGAATATAATCACATCAGCTTTCTTTCAGATAGCGTTTGCATTAGGTATATCTTTTTCCATCCTTTTATTTTCAATTTACTTGATATTTTTACATCTAAACTGTATTTCTTGTAAACGGCACATGCAAGATTACTTTTACAATATAAAACATCAAAAAAAAAATAGCCTCGAAATAAGGATTTATTTATTCAAAACCAAAACGATATAACTTTTTCTAGAAACACAAAAATGTGGGTCCCTAACTACTAAAAGCCCACAGATTAAAGAACACAGCTCTGGTAGAAACATGAATCCAGAGCTGCCAGCGCCAAGTGAACGCTGCGGGAAGTAGAGAAAGGTTTCACAAAGGTAGGGCTTTAAAGGATGAGTAGGAGCTGGCTGCCAACAGTTCAAAATGTACAAAGGCTAGAAAGAAATTTTGTAAGCAAGCACAAATGAAAATGAAAATGAAAGCTCTTGAGGACACCAATTTATGGGTAAGACTGGTTACTGGTTAATTCTACCGGGTTTGGCTTTTAAAGCCGTCAATCACAATGACGTCACTGTTGGTCAGGTTACTCCGGCTGCTTGCATTTGCTACCTGTGTGATAAGGAAAAGGAAGTCACAGGAAAGCTCCCCTGCTTGCCCAGGAGGGGAAAGCCATGCAGTACGCAGAGGTCGGAAAGCCTTTAATTAAATTCAACCACTGTAGGAAATACATCTACAGCTTCATTGTGCCGCAATGCTGCCCCCTCTGCCGGCAGGAAGTGGGCTCGAGGAAGCTGGAGGAAGCACCTGTTAGCATCTCCAATCCGTTTACCAATGGACATCAAGAAAAATGTTCATTCCTCCTCAAACCAACTCAAGGGACGTTTCTTAGGTACCGTGTTTTTAAACATTATATTGAATTGTGCATACATTTCCTTCTGTGCTGTAGTTATTAAAACCTTTTACAGTATGAGGTTTGGTGGATAATCTTTCCAGTATTTTAGCATTGAATTCTAAAATGTAGGCCTATTCGTTTCATAAAAATAGATGGTGTGAATACTTTCCTGGAGCAATAAGTGCAAGAATGTATGAAGGTCAAACCTGCTTGTACAACTTTAAGAGAGAAAAATCTATAACCTGAAGTTTTTTGCCCACGGATTTTGAGCTAAGAGGCTAATTGGGAAAATGACGCAGCAGCTAATGTTATCAATACCTTTATTGTGAGTTAAGTTTGTAATTTCAGTGACAAACAGGGACAATGTACAGAGCCTGAAGAATGGCCACTTACAGACTATTTGCATGGAAGTGAGTTAAATTGAAGACTAGAGCTGGTCTAGTTCAATTATAGATACCACCTGACTTTAAGATTTCAGAAATTAAAAAAAAGGACTATGTCTCTTAGAGTTCTTGTGGGGTTTACAAATGGAATTGGGACTGGCCCTGCACAAGCCAGAGCATAGATGCGACTGGATGAAGGCACGTCCATGTGCATCGTCACCATCTAATGCCGAGAACTCCTTGAAATCTACCCTCTCAACCCCCTGTGCCCTCAAGAGTGCTTGGGATGAGAAAATTAGACTATTCACTTCCCTGCTAACTTCCTTAATTGATTTCCTTCACATCTCAATGAGGCTGAAATGAAACAAAGTGTGTAAAAGATGTTGCACTAAACTGTTTTATAAGAGCCTCTCATTCATGCTAAGTTGGAGTTAGTAACTGGTTGGATTCCAAAAGCTTTTGAATAATGTGGTTAAAATTCAGAATTTGCCTTAACATGGTTCATTCAACAAACCCATACTGAGCAGCTCTGTGTCGGAAATGCTAGGGATGTCACAGTGAACAAGCCACAGCCTAACTGCTCAAAAAAAAAAAAAAAA